TTCCCTGCGAGGAAGCAAGACTGGTATCTTGGGAGTAGGTTGAGGGAGAGTCTAAATCATTTCATTTCTACATGGAATCCTTGTCTCTCTCCACTGGTTATGGGAATCCAATACCTATTTATAGGAATAAATATCAGACTGCTGAGACACAGGGGCCCAGGGGCAAAGATGACTCACCTTCAGCACTAGAAGCAGGGGCAGCACCTGTAGTTGATGCATAGCCCTGCTTAGACCTGGTTTTTAAGGTGAAGACAGCATCAGAAACTAAGTTTGAAATAGGAGGAAAGAGGAAAGGAAGAAACGAGTCCCTACTCGAGTTCGAGCCTGAAATAGAAAGTGTTAACCCAGAACCTATCTCAAAAGATTGGAGAAGAGGAGAGGGATGTTTAGCAACAGTCCATGAGCTTCAAACTGTTCAGGACAGCCATCACCACCCCCCCCCCTCCTGCCATGGCACCTGGGTGTTATGGACAGCACTGAGGACTGCTGGATCCCCGAGATCATTCTCTTCCCCCTCCTTCTCCAGGTCCAGGGCTAAATCAGGGTCCAAGTCTGGATCCAGAGCCTCCACTTCATTTTCTTCCTCCTCCAATTGGGGGGCAGACATCGGTTCCTCTTCAGGAGCCAAAGGGCCATAGGACTTTCCTGGGCCTGGTTTTGAGTGGGGGCCTGAGGAGGAAGTAGATGGGGGCTCAGGTGTGAGGTGTCTCATAAAGAGCACTTGTGTTCATGAGCCATCTCTAGCACCCCCTTCAGACAGTGCCTCCTGTTCTAAGGGTTCACCTCAGCCTTATTACTCTAAGGACTCCTACCTGTCTTCCAATGGAGCAAACGGGAATGTAGCAGGTGCTAGACACCTTCACTTTCTACATTGCCTCTTCAATTATCTCATTAGGTAACACCACAGGCTTCTCCACCTAACAGCCCATTCTGTGCCTCTTTAGTTAACCAAGTTCCAGCTGCTCTGATCACTGCAATGTAACCCTGCTGTGCACCAGACACTTTGCATGTATGTGTTCGTTTAATGTTCACAACAGTCATATAAGCCTGTTATTGATGATGTTACTATGAGGGTGAGGAAAATGAGGCTCAGAAAAGTGATCTCAGTCACCCAGCATGATGTAGCTATCAAGTATGAGTTTGGAATCACTCCCAGCAATTCTGGACACCCAAGACCGTGTTCATCCACTGAACCAGAACAGCAAGTCTCTGCACCCTTGGGCTTTTTATCCAGTTACCACGGCCCACTTAGTGATACCTTCAAGACATTTCATCTTCACAGGCTGGCAGACTTCTTCCATGGCCATTTCCTCTGGTGAGAGAGCATTGTCAGCTTTTGGAAGGTAAACCTGGAACAGGGAAGAGACCCAGAGGCACCCTCCTCATCAGTGAGGATGGTATGGCACCCTAAAACAGCCATAGTCATCCACCAGCAAGGTTGTCAGAGGAATATTGGCCCAGGATCTTGAAGAGCAGGGACCCTTGGCTCTCAGGCTACACTAAACCCCCACCTTCTGACCTCACCAGTTCAGCTCTAGGGACGGGGCTAGGAGTTGGAGGAGCACTTCCACACAGACACTACCAGCCTCCATCTGTTCACAGTGAGGGGGCCTCACAGCTGCCTTGACACCCACCACCTTACTGTTGTCCATTCTCCATAGTTTAGCCATGGCAGCCTGAGCCAGTGCTGGCTTGCTGCCCTTGGCTTTAAGAGTCTCAGCCCCTCCCCTGCTCTCCTGTTAAAGGGCCAGCATCTCCCAACCACAGCGTCTTGGTAGAAATACGAGAACATAATCTTATGATAAAGAAAACCCTTGAAAGGACAAGAGAAATAAACTGCATTTTTAACCATTCAAGGTGTGAGTACAGTTTATTAGAACTGATATTTGGGAGCAGGGATTTAAAAGGAGGATCCCTGTTTTTCACACCCTTCATAGGAACGTTTGTGAGGTTGTGTTCCCTTCAATCTCTGAGTTTTGCTCCATCAAAACAGCATAGGAAAATTGGTGGATCCTAGGGAGATTACCTAGCAACCAAGTTCTTAGCACTTCAGGGCAGTGTGCTTGTGGATTCCTGCCATCCACCTGCTGATGCTTGCCCTTCACTGTGTTCTATGAACTTAAGTCTACTACCCTGTTCTAACTGATGAGGGGACCCCTTTGAATTTAGAAGCCAGATCGTCAAGGTAAAAACACTTTTGCATGAGTTACACACAATCTTGTGTCTTCTTGGCTGTTCTAATGGAAAGCTGGTTCAGCTCAGAAGTAAAAAGAAAATGAAACAACAAAAAAAGCATATCAGTATTGCTGGTAGGCAAAACCTAAGACCCACCTGAGCCTCATCTAGCAGAGTGATCCTGGATTTTGTACCCACATCCTGTGTTGAGCGACCCCACATGACTGTAGAACTTGTGAATAAAAATAAAAAAGCTAAATTCTCTACATCAAAAAAGCAAGTTAGGGCTCTATTGTCCTGTTTATAGGATTACAATTCTTGGTGCCTCCAAATAAAAATATTTGTTTCAAAAATTTTACTGTAGGTCAGAACTATATGGATGGGAGGAAATTTTAAGTAGCTTAAGTTACCAAAAAACTTTTCAAGTATCTCAATTGAGTTCAGGCCTTTTTTGTAATGTTTCAGCTGTTTAAAATTCAGCTGTTTCTCTCAAGAACTTCCTAACAATTCAGTTTGGTATTATTAACCAAAGGGCCAAATGGTGAATTTCAGTATTCCAGAAGTGATTTATTAGGTTGTTATAGAGACCAAGTTTTATGGAGAGCCACTTGCTACATGCAGATTTTCATTCTGAAGGGACTTCCAGTACCAACTAGTACCAGAGCAGGCGAAATAGGGTTTAGTCTTCAAGTCTAAAACAGCCCTGCCTTGACTGTTTGAAGTTTCACTTGGGACCTAGTAGCTTTTGTGAAAGTCCTCTACCTTTGCCTGAAGTCTTATATGTCTACTGGTTTCTTAGATTTTCTAACTTTCTGCCATGGTTTAACTATGTTAAGTTTAAGAGAAGCCTGTGCTAGGCTTGAGATACAGCAGTGAATAAGGCAGATGGTACCCAAGGGCCTCTTAGAGCTTAGAAGTACAGACAATAAACAGGATTGTTGGATCAGATAAAAGATACATTAGAAATGTTTACATTTGCTAAATAAAACACCGAGGGACTTTCCCACTTGTATGGGGAGAATTTTAATACATTGTTTCAGTTTCTTTAGTGGTTGTAGATCTAGTCCAGTTTTTAGTTTCTTTTTGTGATTGTGTTGTTAAATTATATAATCTTCTAAGAATGTGCCCATTTCCTGTAAATTCAAATTTATTGCCATAAAGTTGCTCATAATATAAGAATATTTTTTAAATCTATGCTATATCTGTATTTTGTCCCCCTTTTCTTCCTAACATTATTTATGTTTTATCTCCTCTTTTTTTCTTCTTTCCAGCTTTACGTTAGCACTTTGCAAACAAACCATCATGACAAATTTCCTCTCATTTTTACCCAGATGCCACCACTGAACACTTCTTGGATTTAAAAAAAATAATCTGAAACAACCATTGCCCGTTATTTCTCAGAAACTATCTCAATTACCAGTGATTTCATAACTGTAAGTGCAAAAGACATATTTCGGTCCTTACATTAGTTGAAGTTCTAATCTCCTACAGCTTCCTGAGAGTTCAGTCTCCTAATTCTTTCTGTACTTTTCGGGTCATCTTTCTTTGGCCCCTTTCCTTCTCTCTGCATCCTCTTGCCATTCTTCAAGTATCCTATTCCTTATGCCTCTTCTC